TGGGAGGGGGCTGGGTCGGGGCTGGCCCCAGACAGTGACCTGAAGTTGAGTGGAAGCAGGCTTTTTCCATCAAACCCTGCCTGGATACCACACACAGAGACCGAGTGTCAGTTTACTGCCCTGAGCCGGCTCCTTCTCCCTAAGCTCCACAGTAATTAGACAAAGAAAACCCAAATTAGCTGAACAGGCGTCGACAGCTTCCTCCAGAGCACCCCTGGTACCTACATGGGAATGTGTCCGAAAATGGCTTGATTGTAGCCCAGAGTCAGCTAAGAAAACATCGGCAAACTGAACTCAGTTTACCACTCATTTCCAATAGGGAAAAGAAAGAAGGAAAGAAGGAAAGAAAGAAAGACAAGTCTCTCTTTTCCGGATGGGATGTTTTGATTAGGTTGGGGTAGGGGTTTTGCAGTTGTTTCCACTTTCTAAGGATTTCTTTCTGACTTGCTGGTGAGAGCATTTGGGGATGGGTCCTCAGTATTTTCATGGTATTTTTTTTCACTTGGTCTTATTTGCCATTCTATGTGGAACAATTAACTAAATATAGAAGTAAAATAATGTAGTCACTAAACCAATGCCTTAAGTGTCTACAAATAAATGTTTAAATAACATAGAAACTGGAGTGGGAAGGAAAGATAGTATCTTAAAGGAGCGCCTCTGTCATGAGTTCTCTCTCTCTCTCTCTCTCTCTCTCTCTCTCTTTCTCTCTCTCTCTCTGTGTGTGTGTGTGTGTGTGTAAGTGGGAAGAGTATCAGTCCAGGTAGAAGTTTATGGAGAAGGAAGATATTCATTTCATTTTTGGTGGGGGGTGATGGGCCATGGGTTTTGGGTACATTCAACAGGTCAGTATCATTGTCAATCAGCCATGGACCCTTTTTGATTCTCTGCATCTGAAAATTCTAGGTATATTGGATCTCAGGGGGTATCTACTTTGAGAGCAGGCCCTAAATGGTTTTAGGACTCAGAGACTAAAAAATAAAAGGCATTAATCCTAAAATCCAGGCAGGGCCAGTGATGACCGTCTATATCAGTAGCTTGCATTTTGGAGGTCATGGGTTTCTTTGAGAATTTGTTTGTAGCTATGCAGCCTGCCTGGGATCTTAGGGGTTCCACATATAACCATTAAAAAAAACCCCCTAATTCTACATATTTTTAGCTTCTGTCAATTCAGCCATTTAAATTATGAGGAATATTTTAAAGGCTCACTTCTCCATCCAAGTGACAATGGTAACCATTTTACCTAAACTCCTTAAACTTGCAAGAGATCCCACTTATATAGTTTGGTGAGTGCTATGGGGCCCCAGTCAGGTTCTGGAAAGGCCACGGACCTTGTGGGCAGTTAGGGCAGGAGTCAGTCTGCTAAAGTGCAGTCTTGTTTCTCCATGGCCTTTTTTTTCTGCTTCGTGGCCCCTGAGCAAGATGTGGAGGCTTGGGGCCTTCATAAGTTATCCAGGCAGGAAGGGCTTCTCTCCAGAACCACTTCTGCCTAAGGAAACTGTTCCTTTGGCTGAGACCACCCAGGTCTAGGATTGTTCAAGCCCTGCATCTGCTTGTCACAGATTTCCAAGGTACCAGCCATTCCACTCACGTCCTGTCACATCACATGGCCCAGGTGCCATCACTCCCCTTCAGAGATGAGGAAACTGAGACTCAGAGACTGGATTACTTGGTGCAGGGCATGCAGGAGCAAGTGACAGAGCTGGCCTGTGGCCTGGGACTCCAAGTTCAGTGCTCCTTCCACTGCGGTACAGCAAAGCCTCCCTGAGCTTTGTGTTCATCAGTGCTTTTTAAACAAATCTCTTGGGAAAGAATGGGTGTGATAACACATTATGTCAAACTCTTTATGCCTGGGAAGAATATCTTAGTTTCTGGTCAGCAGGCAGGGTTTAGAAGGAAGTTGTGACTGCGAAACTCAGGCTTGCTGAGCACAGCCTCCCTCTCTCCCCAGGTTCCTTCTTCTAGCGGTGAGACTTTCGCTCTCTATAAACAATTTTTTTTCTTTACGGAAAGGAGAGGTTGGTTCATTTAAATAATTCTCGATGGGCTCAGCCCCTCCTCGGTTAACCAGAAACAGGCAGCCTCCTGTGCGACGTCCTCTCTCCATCCCTCTTGGTTGACCTTATCCCTTTAGGCTGCGGTTCCCGCTTCAAACCCCTCGGTCCCGCCCCTGCCCCAGCAAGGGAATGTAAACTTTGGCAAGCTTGGGCTTCTCCCATTGTGTTCTGTAATCGGCGTTTTATTCTAGGAAATCTCCTCATTATTGCGGTTTAAATTTTATGTTCTTAGCAGGCTTCCTCCGCTTCGTGGGTTTTACTTGAGATGGTTTAGACTAAACCGGTTACCGCCAGCAGAGACGCACCCGCACCACCACGTTTGCGGCCCCTTAGACGTCTCCTCCGCGCGACTCGCGCCTGCTCCCCCTCCCTTCCTTCCGCTGGGCCCCGGCGGGGAGGCCTCTTCCCAGTTCGGCATGAAACTGAACACTGCTTTCACCCCGCGTTAGGCACAAGGCTAACGTGAGTGAAGGAATCTCCAGCTCTTACGAGGCCTTTCCACGTGCGGACAGTGGGAACTCGGGGCTGGGGCCTAGGAGTGTCAGCGCCTTTGAGGAGGAGACAGCGGAAGAGCCCTGGCCTGCATGCTGCAGAGGCTTCTCTCTAGAAACTTCCACGTACACCAGAAAACCTGCACGGGAACAGCACTGGAAGGACGCGGAGGCAGGGGCAGGAGAAGGACGGTGGCGAGGAGTGGGGATTTTGACACCCCTCCTAGCGTCTGCTCTTCTTCCTCGGCCCAGAAACCCCCCAGACCTCCGGGCTTGAACACCAGCCACCCAATTCCAAATGTTTATTTGGATAGTCTTCCGCTCTCCGAAGGCGCTGGTGTCCCGGGCAGGGCTCTTTTTACAGCCACCTTCCTGAAAGATCCGCCGATAGCTGCAGATCTCCTGGGTTTGGCCGTAGGCATGACCCATGACCCACTTGGCCAGGTCTGACGGTGCCTGGGGAGGGAGGAGAAAGTGTCCAGTCTCTCAGACCCTCAAGCGAAGGCCGGGCCTCATTGTGTCTCTGCGCTTCCTGGATTGCGGGGCGTGGGTCCTTTCGGTTGGGAGACGGGCACCGAGGATGCTGCGCGCGGACCCGGGAGTTCCCGGCGACGCCTCCTGCACTTGGCCTACAGCTGGTTGCGTTTAGGGCTTGGGAGGCTGGGGGCGTGAGAAGAGGGTTTCGGTGTCAGAGACGAGCTGCTCAGCCCAAAAGCCCGAGGAAAAGGGCCTGGGTTGGAACAGAGTCGGCCTGAGAGTCTCCTAAAGGGGAAACACGAGTGGGCTCCCAGCGGCGAAGAAAATAAGGAGGAAAGCCTGAACCCACATTCCCCAAGCCGTGAGGTCTGCAGGTGTCCGCAGCACGTTAATTTTGCGTGCGCTTGTGCGTGGGAGGGAAGTTCCCGCGCTTTAGGTGGCGGGACAAAGCGTTTAGACGCTGTAGGAGTCAGGCGGCGTCTCGGCGGGCCCGGCGGGGGAGGCGGCGGCGCGGAGGACCCCTCGAGCTCTGCACACCTCCCCTTAACGCTCCCGTCCACTTCAGCGGCCCGGGGTCGCTCAGCCG